TATATATATATATATATATATATATATATATATATATATATATATATATATATATATATATACTGTTTATACTCACAGTATATAGAGATTGTGTTGTAAAGCACTTTGAGTGTCTTGATAAGATTAGGTGCTATATAAGTACAGTTCATTCACCATCCATTTAAAAGAGCACAGAATGCCATGATTTCAGCTCCCTGCCTCCTCTGCTCTCAGTAGGCCTGTCGCAATAAACAGTAAATCAATAAATCGCATGATAAATGAAAATTATCGACCTCATTTTCATTTATCGGCTTTATAGTTTCTACGTCTCTCTCTTTCTACTGGAGACACGGGATGACAAAAGGCTCAACTCCGGTGCTCTTCACTGACCCCTCCCTTTCTCTTTAAAGCCTGTTTTAACCGTCCAAAATCGCATTTTTGGATCATTAAAAGCAGCTAAGCTGAGAAGCTATGCTAACAGGCCGACCTCGGGGAAAAAACCTCCGTCTTGTCGAAGCTCTAAAATTCACGGTTGAAACCCGTGCCTATGTGAAAAAACGATTTTCTCTGCAAAAAGAAGCTGAGCACTTGTTTACTGATTTTTTAATTTTTTTTAATAAAAGCTTTGTGTGAAAAATGCTATGCTAAAGAGCTCAAACCACACTGAACGTCCGCCATTTTGAGTACGAAAGAGAGACAGCCCATGTCACATCATGGGGCAATTTTCTTAAAAATACACGCTGCTCACTCCCTCACTATCCATCCTTCGGTTCAACTAATCTTATACTGCCATCCGGTGGTCAAAAAAAGGTACTACATGCAAAACAAATTAACAAACATTTCTTCTTAAATTTGATAGTAATTACTAATTACTGTCAAATTTCAAACAATATTATTGTTTATAGCAATAATTTCTGAGACAATTAATGGCCCAGCAAAATTTGTTATCATGACAGGCCTAGTTTTCAGCCACCTGCAAGTGCTCTTGGCCACGCCCACTTTGCACGTTCTGCACAGAGAACAGCTGATCAGCTGCAGCAGGAAATTTATCCTGCAGTGTGGGCTGCACAAAGGCGCAGAAGGAAGCTTTTTCCCAGCTTTGTGGGTTGCACAAAGGTGCAGCAGGTGCTAAATACTTTAAAATAATTTATTTTAAATAAAAATTACATGCCGATCGTGCGGCTCATCCATTAGTCAGTCATTATGTGTAGTGTTCAGTCTTATTTTGAAAAACCGTGATAGATCGAGTCCGTGATAAACGAACTGCGAAATAGCTAGGGACCATTGTGTACCAAACTCTACCCTCAACTGTTGCTAATATAATCTGACACAATCCAGTGTTTCTCCTACCATTATCCAAAGAGGGCGTTCAACAGAAGTGGGCACCCCGCTTACTGACATTAACCCTACACCCCACCCCTCACCCCCAGTCTGACTTGTGCCAGAGACAGTAACCTAGGGGAAACACTGCAACCTCATCTCTAAAATTGTTCCTCTTTACTTATTTTAGCAATCACATATAACAATAGATTAATAACCACTGACTTAGTTTGGTGAAACTGTCCTTGAACAAGTTAGTGGCCACAGGCCAGCCAGATAGCCATGCAGATGAAATTGAGCCTTGATCAAGACGGCAAAGCCTAACTATCTTCCCTCCAAAGTGAAGACACATCAGTCTTTGTGCCTTCAAGTCACCAGAGGCACAAGGCTGAAGAGGTCCTCACTCACACCATGACAGCCCAATATGCCAAACAAAAGTGTAGTTCTCACGTTGTTTTTTTTTATCAATCAGTTGTCAAGTGAAAAATGTACTAAAAATCTATTAATTGTGTATGGTATCTCCATGTCTAATAGGCTATGTCTGAATTAATTAATAAATTACTAAACAAAACTGTGATAAACTACGAGAAGTGGTTGAACAAATGTTGCACAATATATTTTCTGACAGTCTCACATGTCAAGTGGTTGTTAGAACCATCACTTCTTTGCTGAACAGAGCTCTTTTTATAAAGTCTGGATGTAAGTCAGCTGATTTTGAAGAAACGCCAACAATGTCTTCACAAAACAGTCATTGCATTACAGGAAGTGCGCTCAGCAGTCGTGTTACTTCCTGCACCTAGATAAATCTAAATTTCACTCATGTTAAAACGTGCGTGCTTGAGAGGACACATACATACTATTTTTAATCCTGCTTTGTACAGTTTTACAGTTTTAAAAGTTGGACTCATTTTGTTGTCATGTGCTAAATATTAATATAAATAAAGTGGTATGGTATGGTATGGTATGGTATGGTATGGTATGGTATGGTATGGTAAATAATGAGTCTCTGAACTGCTATGGTAAGTGAGTGCAAAGCCATCTGTTTTAAAGTGAGGCTGACAGACAGTCTATTAGACATGGAGATATCATACACAAACCACTGTGAAATTTACAATCTCAACAAGCATGCACACTTACACCGTCCTCTATGTGCATACCATATTCATTACAAATACTCACTGTACTGCAGCCTCCTGCCACAGAAGAAAAAATAAATAAATTACAGTTCTATTTTGGGACACTTCTGTCTGGAGCTCAGCTGACACACACTTGCTAGGTTTAGGTTTATTGTCATATGCAGATCAAGACAAGGTCAACAATGCAAGAAATGCTCAGGACGAGAAGAACCGTCTCGACTTGCCAAAAAAATAAACAACAACAAATACCAAAAGTGAAAATGAAACATCTACACCAGCATGGTCCTATTGGCAGAGTGGTTCTACTAGCAGTGAGGTTCTCTTAGCAACATGATCCTATTAGCAGCATGGTACTGTTAGTAGTGTGGTTCTGTTATCAGTCAGGTTCTTTTTGCTGCATGGTACTGTTAGCAGTGGGGTTCTGAGTGGTGTGGTCTTGTTTGCAGACATGCTGCTATTAAACAATGGATACATATCATACAATCAAAATAATATAAATCCCACACGTATGGTTATGGTAAAAAGGAAGCACAACTTCTTTCAGTTTTAAGGTTGTATGCATCAGGACTTATTAAAGAGAAATCTCTGGTCTATCAAGTTACACAATGGAAAAATGTGACCTCAAATGTGTAACAAAAATGATACGTTCTACCATAATTAATCCAAAATGCAGAAAAACGTGAAGAACTTAAAAACTTGTAAAACTCCTCCTACTGCATTGTAATTCATACAATCCCACATCATGAAGGTCCTAGAGAGGCTTCTGTTGATCCACTTGACTAAACAAAAAAGCGCATATCAGGACCCACTGCAGTTTGCTTATCAGCGTGGACTTGGAGTTGAAGATGCCATCATACACCTGCTTCAGCAAACTCACTGTCATCTAGAAAAGGCAGACAGCACTGTGAGAGTCATGCTCTTTGCTTTCTCCAGTGCATTTAACACAATCCAGCCTGCTCTGCTTTGTCAGAAACTCCAGAAGACTCAGGTGGAGGCTTCAACAATCACCTGGATCAAAGACTACCTGACGGACAGACCACAGTTTGTGAGACTGAAGGGTTGTGTGTCTAACCAGGTGGTCAGTAGCTCAGGAGCACCACAGGGGACTGCACTCTCATCATTCCTTTTCACTCTGTACACCTCAGATTTCCAGTAAAAAACAGACTCCCGTCATCTGCAGAAATATTCAGATGACTCTGCAGTGGTCAGGTGTATCAGAGATGGACAAGAAGCTGAGTACATGGAACTGGTGGACCGCTTTGTGGCATGGTGTGAAAACAATCATCTCATCTTGAATGTGAACAAAACAAAGGAGATGGATTTCAGGAGAAACAGGAACAGGTCCAACCCTATTTCCATCAAGGGAGAAGAAGTGGAGATGGTGGAGAAGTATAAATACCTTGGAGTTCACCTGGACAACAGACTGGACTGGAAATGCAACAGTGTAGCGTCTACAAGAAGGGACAGAGCAGACTGTACTTCTTGAGGAAGCTGAAGTCCTTCAGTGTTTGCAGCAAGATGCTGCATATCTTCTATAAGTCTGTTGTAGAGAGCACTATCTCTTCTGCCATCATCTGCTGGGTTAGCAGCACCAGAGCAAGTGACTTAAAAAAGATCAACAAGCTCATAAAGAAGGCTGGCTCAGTTCTGGGGACTCCTCTAGAAC